AGGTAAAAAAATGCAGATTTGGGTGTCTGGGGGCAGATTTTGGGGGCGAAAAGGCAGATTTTGGGGTCTTAGAGGACAGTTCTGAGGGAAAAAAATGCAGATTTTGAGGTAAAAATTGCAGATCTTGGGCCTAAAAGGCAGATTTTGGGGTGAAGAAAAGATTTCTGAGGTAAAAATTGCAGATTTTGAGGTAAAAAAATGCAGATTTGGGGGCGAAAAGGCAGATTTTGGGGGTTGGGAGGAATTCCTGAGGTAAAAATTACAAATTTACAGGTAAAAATTGCAGATTTTGAGGTAAAAATTTCAGATTTTGGTGTCTGGGGGCAGATTTTGGGGTGTGGGAAGAATTTCTGAGGTAAAAATTGCAGATTTTGAGGTAAAAAAATGCAGATTTGGGGGCGAAAAGGCAGATTTTGGGGTTTGGGAGGAATGTCTGAGGTTAAAAATTACGAATTTTGAGGTAAAAAATTGCAGATTTTGGTGTCTGGGAGCAGATTTTGGGGCGAAAAGGCAGATTTTGGGGTGCGGGAGGAATTTCTGAGGTAAAAATGACGAATTTTGAGGTAAAAAAATGCAGATTTGGGTGTCTGGAGGCAGATTTTGGGGTGAAAAGGCAGATTTTGGGGTGAGGAGGAAATTTCTGAGGTAAAAAGTTGCAGATTTTGAGGTAAAAATTGCAGGTCTTGGGCCTAAAAGGCAGATTTTGGGGTGAAAAAGGCAGATTTTGGGGTGAAGAGAAAATTTCTGAGGTAAAAAATTGCAGATTTTGAGGTAAAAAAATGCAGGTCTTGGGCCTAAAAGGCAGATTTTGGGTGAGAAAGGGTCAGATTTGGGGTGAAAAGGGCCTGATTTCGGGTAAAAATTGCAGATTTGGGGTGAAAAGAGTCAGATTTGGGGTGAAAAGGGTCAGATTTGGGGGTAAAAATGCCAATTTTGGGGGTAAAATTTGCAGATTTGGGGGTAAAAATGTCAATTTTGAGGTGAAAAGGGTCCGGTTTTGGGGGTAAAAATGCCAATTTTGGGGTGAAAAGTTACAGATTTGGAGGTAAAAATGGCAGATTTGGGGGTAAAAATGCAAATTTTGAGGTGAAAAGTGGCAGATTTGGGGGTAAAAATGCAAATTTTGAGGTGAAAAGTGGCAGATTTGGGGGTAAAAATGTTAATTTGGGGTGAAAGTGGCAGATTTGGGGTGAAAAGACTCAGATTTGGGGGTAAAAGTGTCAATTTTGGAGGTAAAAATTGCAGATTTGGGGGCAAAAATGTCAATTTTGGGGTGAAAAATGGCAGATTTGGGGGTAAAAATGTCAATTTTGGGGTGAAAAGTGGCAGTTTTGGGGTGAAAACGGTCCGATTTGGGGGTAAAAATTGCAGATTTGGGGTGAAAAGGGTCAGATTTGGGGGTAAAAATTGCAGATTTGGGGTAAAAATGGCAGATTTTGGGGATAAAAGTGTTAATTTGGGGTGAAAGTGGCAGATTTGGGGGTAACAATGTCAATTTAGGGGTGAAAAGGGTCAGATTTGGGGGCAAAAAGGTCAATTTTGGGGGTAAAAATTGCAGATTTTGGGCTAAAAACGTCAATTTTGGGGTGAAAATTGGCAGATTTGGGGGAAAAATGTCAAATTTGAGACAAAAAGGGTCAGATTTGGGGTGAAAAGGGTCAGATTTGGGGGTGAAAAATGGCAGATTTGGGGGTAAAAATGTCAATTTTGGGGTTAAAAGGGTCAGATTTGAGGTGAAAAGTGGCAGATTTGGGGGTAAAAATGTCAATTCTGGGGGTAAAAATGTCAATTTTGGCGGTAAAAATGGCAGCTTTGGGTTGAAAGAGTCAGATTTGGGGACAAAAATGTCAATTTTGGGGTGAAAAGGGTCAGATTTGGGGTAAAAATGTCAATTTTGGGGTGAAAAGCATCAGATTTGGGGTAAAAGTGGCAGATTTGGGGGAAAAAAGCAGATTTGGGGGTAAAAATGGCAGATTTGGGGGTAAAAATGTCAACTTTGGGGTGAAAAGAGTCAGATTTGGGGTGAAAGTGGCAGATTTGGGGGCAAAAATGCCAATTTTGGGGGTAAAAATGTCAATTTTGGAGTGAAAAATGTCAGATTTGAGGTGATTAAGGTCCGATTGGGGTGTAAAAACTGCAGATTTGGGGTCAAAATGGCAGTTTTAGGGTGAAAAGTTGGAGATTTGGGGGTAAAAATTGCAGATTTGGGGGTAAAACCGCCAATTTTGGGGTGAAAAGGCTCAGATTTGGGGCTAAAAATGTCAATTTGGGGGGTAAAAATGTCAATTTTGAGGTGAAAAGGGTCAGATTTGGGGGTAAAAATGTCAATTTTGGGGGTAAAAACTGCAGACTTTGGGGTAAAAATGTCAATTTTGGGGTGAAAAGGGTCAGATTTGGGGTGAAAAGAGTCCGATTTGGGGGTAAAAATGCCAATTTTGAGACGAAAAGAGTCAGATTTGGGGTGAAAGTGGCAGATTTGGGGGTAAAAACGTCAATTTTGGGGGTAAAAACGGCAGATTTTGGGGTAAAAATGGCAGATTTGGGGGTTAAAATGTAAATTTTGAGGTGAAAAGTGGCAGATTTAGGGGTAAAAGTTGCAGATTTGGGGGAAAAAGTGACAGATTTGGGGGTAAAAACGTCAATTTTGGGGTGAAAAGTGGCAGATTTGGGGGTAAAAATGGCAGATTTGGGGTAAAAATCGCAGATTTTGGGCTAAAAATGTCAATTTTGGGGTGAAAAGGGTCAGACTTGGGGTAAAAATGTCAAATTTGGAGGTAAAAATTGCAGATTTGGGGTAAAAATGACAGATTTGGGGGTAAAAATGGCTGATTTGCAGATAAAAAAGTCAACTTTGGGGTGAAAAGAGTCAGGTTTGGGGTGTCAATTGGCAGATTGGGGAAAAAAATGTCAATTTTGGGGTGAAAAGGGTCAGATTTGGGGTGAAAGTGGCAGATTTGGGGGTAAAAACGTCAATTTTGGGGTGAAAAGAGTCAGATTTGGGGGTAAAAATGGCAGTTTTGGGGTGAAAAGAGTCAGATTTCGGGGCAAAAATGTCAATTTTGGGGGCAAAAATGTCAATTTTGGGGGTAAAAATGTCACTTTGGGGGTGAAAAGCCTCAGATTTGGGGTGAAAAGCATCAGATTTGGGGTCAACCCCCCCCTTTTTTTGGGGGGGCCGTGGGGGGAGGGGCCCCTCCCCTTTCCTTTCCTTTCCCTTCCCGATTTTTCCTCCTCTTCCTCCTCTTCCTCTTCCTCCTCCTGCTGCTGCTCCCCTTGAAACGCCCTTGGGGCTCCCCGGGGTGGGGGAGGGGCCATTCCCGGTTTTTTTTTTTCTTTCCTTCCTCCTCCTCCTCCCCATTCCCCGCTCGGCTCCCGCAGCGCCCGGACACGGTCGGTGCCCCTCCCCCACGGACCCCCAAAAATCCTGGGATAAC